AAAGATATTTTTTTTATATTATTGTTAATATAATTTTTATATGTTATTAAATTAATAAATATATTTAATATTATAAAATTTATTTAAATAAAAAAATAATTATATAAATGATACATTAAATTATAAAAAAAATAAAACAAAAAATTATCTTAAAATTATTTTTCCTTTTTCAAAAACCATTTTGCAATTCAGTTCCGTTGGATTGTGAAATAATTGTTTTTAAATTAGGAACGGACTTTAGATATTGGGTTTTTTTCTTTATTTAAGAATTTTAATTTTATAATTTAATATAATATAATTTAAATTATAAAATAATATATTTAAATTTTTTTAAAAAAATTCTTTTTAATTAGCACTGTTTGTTTTGCTTGATGTATGTAAACAAAATACTTTTCTCATAATTTAGACTAAAAAAGAAATCATTAAATTAAAGGGAATCTTTTATATTTGAAGGGTCTTCTCATAATTTACAGATTTTTTTTTTGTGCAATTTAATGGTAATCACACTCTATTGGACCACTTAATTGGTTAATAATTTAAATTTTTAATTTAAAAACCTTATATTTTTAAATTTTGAATTAGATAAAAAAATTAAAAAAATATTTTTTTCTTGTATCAGCTATTACCAAATGTAAGAAAAAAATATTATAAAGACTTTTATGATAAAAATATGTTAAAAAAGAAAAAGAAAGGAAAGAAAAAAGCCATCTGTACTAGTCATTGGCGGCACGTAGTCCAAGCATATGGTGGTCTCGTTACCAAAATTCTACCTTTTGTTGTGTGGAAGTCTTCGTGTGAAAAGCTTTTAGTCTTAAAATTAAGGTGAGATTTGAAAATTCAAATTTTGGAATCTAATCTATACAATAATTTTTGCTCTTTATATAATAAACAAGAAAGTAATAATATAGCACTTAAGCTCGCAGATTTAATGACGTCAAATCATATATAAGTATATATATATTTTTTAAGTAATTATTTGAAATTAGTCCCTTTCAAACTTGTTCCAAAAAAAAAAAAATAGTAATACAAGATATTCAAGTGGCCACGCTATTTTTGAACAACAGGTGGTCTACATCCCTTCAGTGGTTCGAGTCTCTTCATTAACAGATATTAACATTATTTTTAATTAATTTCTATTGTAAAAAAATAGTAATATAAAAATAATTTTTTTAGATGTATTTAATATTATAAATATCAAATAAATAAAAAATTAATTGATTAAATTATGTGTTAAATTATATGAAAAGATAGTATAAAAAATTATTTATAAATCATCTCTAACCAAAAATAAAAAATAAAAGATAAAAATAAAAAATTTCACGATAAGAACGAGAAGAAAGTAGCAACCGTAGTTGTATGAAATACGAAACTTAATCCTTCTTTTCATGCTAAAATGACAATGGACAAGGATGGAAGTGCATTTATCTAGAAACAAGATTTCGAAAGAGACAGATTATAATTTATGTACTGCTACCTTCCTAAACTCATTTTTATTAGGCTATCTTTTGCTTTCAAACTTCCCACCAAATGGTTTTCAGTGGGAATCCGAGGCTTGGACAAGACCATGTATCCTCAATTATATATGGTATAGTACTTAAATCTGTTTTCACTCTTAACACGAACATTTCATTCTATATCTCAATGCTATATGCTAAACGAAAGGTGTTTAGTTGACTAAATTATCTTGAAAACAGTCGTTAGTGTTTAATTTACTAAACACTCTATAGCTATTTTCTTAAGGCAACATTTCTTTTTTAAATTTTGGAAGGTTAAAATATTAATTTAATCTCTCAACTTTTTAATTTGTACTAAAATTATCTCTTAACTTTAAAATATATCAAAATTATTCTTAAATTTTAATTTTTAATACAAAAGAGTTCTTTTATTAATAACGATGTCATGTAACTCATTATTTTATTATAAAATCATTTTTTTGTTAATTTTAATGACATGTAAAATCAAACAATCATGTCTTACTATAATTATATATTTTTATTTACAAATTAAATTGATATATAATCAAAGTTAAAAAGCAAAATTAATATTTATAATCAAAGTTTAAGGACTAAATTAGAACTTGTATTCAAAGTTTAAGAATTAAATTGATATTATTTTCAAAGTTTAAGAACTATTTTGGCAAAAAAAATTAAAATTTAAAAATACTTTTAATAGTTTTTAAAATTAAAAAATAATGTTAATATAAATCTAAAATTAAAGGACCAAATTAGTATTCTAATCTTTTTGAAAACTGTTAACCAATGCAACGGACTCTTCCTCCAAGATAAAGACGGAAAAAAAAATAAAAAGGGTCAACGAAACTGCAAGAAGTATTAAGGCCCAGTAGTTAATATAAATGGGCTCGAGAAGAATCGGAATTGGGCTAGCGAGTACTGGTCACTTCATTCGGGCCAGATCCAGCCCATTTTTATCCGCGTTGAGTTAGTAAGACGCTTAGCAAGTTAGCAATTAAATTAATTAGAATTAAATAATTAATTAACAAGCTAACAATCCAACGGATAATATTACGCCACGATGGAAAGTTTAAAACAATCGGACGGCCTACAACACCGTGCCAGCGTCATCGTTTGGGTTTTGATTGGGTATAAAAAATGGCAGAAACGTTTCTTAAGCCCCCAAACTTAATCAAAATAGCATTTAATCCCCTAAACTAAAAACAAAGCAAAGAAGCTCTTTAACACTACTAATGATGCAAATAAACTCTTTTCATTCATAAATGTTCATAGTTTTAAGGTGATATTAAATATAAAATACCATTTGACTAATTTATGAAAAGAATTTATTTACATCATTAATGAAGTAAGAAAGTTTATTTGCTTTAATTTTAGTTTATAGGTTTAAATGTTATTTTAGAATAAGTTTAAGGGTGTAAGAAGGGTTTTTGCCTTAAAAAAAAGATTCCGCCATTACTTTACTACTTACCCATCCAAACGCGCTTTCTCTCTCTACTAGGGTTTTCGCTTCCTCTCCACCATAGCTGCAAAGGTACTCTCTCCAAGCTCCCGACTTTTTATCTACTCTCACTTTTTTTGCTGCAACTTTCTCTCCTGTCTGTTTGGTTGCCGAGAAATTAAGTAGACGGCACACAAGCAATCTAAATGCTGTGCATTTGTTTACTCGAATAGTAATGTCTTGCTTCGTTTCTTGTTTGCGAGTTCGATTCTAGTGTTTGGATTTTGTTGATTTTAATGTGTTGTTGGTATGCATCCTTTTTCTTCTGGGTGATTGTTTAGGTTTTTGTGGAGATAATCTGTGCAAAGTTAGGCGAAGATGAGGCCGATATTCGTGGGGAATTTTGAGTATGATACTCGCCAGTCTGAGCTAGAGCGTCTCTTCTCCAAGCACGGGAGGATCGAGCGTGTTGATATGAAATCTGGTAAATTATTATTGAAAGTAATGGTTTCAATTAGGTTTTATCCATATATATATATAGCTATGGAAGCTTGAGGTGGATTGCGATTTTAAAAGTATGTCTTTCCAGCGGGAATAATTTTCTAGGTGTTGCACTGATTTAGGTTTTTGTGTTTGCCCTGGTAGCTGAGTTATTATGGTTTAGTCGAATATGAGGGGGCGTTTAGTACTGTCTCATGTATCTTGAGACAGAAGAATTTGTATACTAAATTAGCTTTCTGGAATTAGATATTGGATATATGGCTACTGTGGTGCCGTGTGATCTAGTCATCTGTCCAGGAAGTAGTTAAAATGGAACAGGCAAGTTTTGCGATTTCTCTGGAGAAAATCTCCGTATTTAAGTGTTTGCTTTTACGCAGGAACTACTAATGGAAAATGAGCTTCTGGGCTCGCCTACTTCTCTGCAAAAAATATACTTTGATTGCAATGGAAAATTTCCTGCCTGCCTGCTCTCCTTGTACTCGCAGATGGCATCACCTGCATTTTCTTCACTTGATCATCTGTCTCACTCACCTCTCTGCATGGTGGGGATTCATTCAAATTTTCATGTCATGCCTACCACTACATGATTCTAGAGGAATTACTGTATTCTGTTTTGCCATGCCTACCACCACATGATTCTAGAGGAATTACTGAAACTCTGTCATGCCATGCCTACAACCACATGTTCTAGAGGAATTACTGAATTCTGTCATGCCATGCCTTCCATTAATGAATTGCTGTCTGACTGGTGAAGCATACTTTGCAATGACGTCTCAGACCTCAAACCTTGGATTTTAAACTTTTACATCCTACCTTCATGATTTAGTTCATCATGCAACGCTTCTACGTATATGCAGGTGTCGTATATTTCTTTTTAGTTTTTGTGGGGGTAATCACTAATCCTGTGATATGGTTGATGTGCCACCAATATGGTGTAAAATCATTATCATAAGAAGTTCCTTCATCTTCTGATTTTAGTTTCTCTATTGCAGGTTTTGCTTTTGTCTATTTTGAGGATGATCGTGATGCTGAAGATGCCATTCGTGGACTTGATAATGTTGCATTCGGTAGAGATCGCCGTCGACTGTCTGTGGAGTGGGCCAAGGTACACCATGGATTGTTTATAACTTGAACATTCTGATATTTATTTTTGTGAAGCTCCACTTCTGAAGCATGCAAATTTTAATTCGTCTCTAATCTAAAATGGCATGTTTTTATTTTGTCAGGGTGAACGTGGTCATCATCGTGATGGATCTAGGTTATCGACTAATCAGAGACCTACCAAAACGTTGTTTGTGATCAACTTTGATCCAATTCGCACCAGAGATCGTGATATACTCAGGCACTTTGAGCCACATGGAAAGGTTCTTCATGTTCGAGTTAGGCGGAACTTTGCATTTGTGCAGTTTGCAACACAAGAGGATGCCACTAAAGCTCTGGAGGCCACACAGAGGAGGTTGGAAATCAGTTAATTTTCTTTTCTAAACGTGTTTCTTTAATTTAATTTCATATTCGTGATGGTATTTCCCCCTCTGCTTTTGCAGCAAGTTATTGGACAGGGTGGTATCAGTTGAGTATGCTCTACGGGATGATGATGAGAGGGATGAGAAATATGGTAGCCCCAGAAGAGGAAATTATGGTAGACGTGGAGATAGTCCATATGGAAGGTCACCAAGTCCTGCACATCATAGGCGTCCGAGTCCTGATTATGGTCGTGCTCGAAGTCCTGCTTATGATCGGTATAATGGCGCTGCACCTGCATATGAGAGGCGCCGTAGTCCTGACTATGGGAGGCAAAGGAGTCCTGAGTATGGTGGTAGATTCCGCAGGTGAGGCTAAGTTCTGATGGTTGGGTACCTTTTTTTCTCAAATAGGACGTCTCTTTATAGATTATATTACAACCTATACTTTTCTTTGACAGCCGATCACCGGTTCGAAGGTCAGGAACATGAATGATTATCAGACTTTTTGGGGATATGCTCTCAGCTCATGGACTTCTTGTGGGTCTTTGCATATTGTATCCATCTTTAGAAAATCCCAAATTTTCTTCTTTTTAGGATTACTTTAAACTTGGGATTCCTCATACAAAGTGATGGTTAATACTGCTGCCTATAACTGTTGTTGGGATTTACAGATACTACTTTGTATGGTGTAGGGAGCCTTTAATTTGTGTTAAAATGCAGTCGATGTTTTTGTTCATTGCCTTTTTATTTCTACCCCCATGATTTTATTATCAAGTCCATTCTCGAATTATTAAGGAGATACACTGCTAATTTCATGTTACATGACTTCAGATAAAGAAAGTTGATATTTGCGAGAATGAACAGGTAAATCCAATATATTGAAATAGGGCCTGGTTTTTTAATTAACAAAATAGTCTTGCCATGGGATAGCACAAGACAAAGAGGATCTTTCACTTAATAAGAACAAAATAAAAACATCAACCTGAGGATGATTTCCTTGGCTCTTGATCAAGTGCCTTCTGGAGCCATGCCTCTGCATCCTGCATCATCCCTGGGCTCAGCCTTACCATGAGGATGCAGAATTCAGTTTGGTTCAGTGCTCCATCTCCATCAAGATCACCCTCTCTTACCATCTCCTCTGCTTCGTCCTTGCTCATTCCTTCCATGCCCAACAGTGCCGAATTCTTCCTCAGACTCTCCGGCGTTATCAACCCTCTTCCCTGATCAGCCAGAAGCCGGAACCCCCCACATAGCTCCGACACAAAGGCGTCAACGTCCAGCTTCTCTGCCATCACCGGCAACAAGTCCTCATATTCCATCGCTGTTGAAGTCCTTGTCCCAAATTTCTGATTCTCCATTGATTGTCCCAATTATCTCTCCCACACTCAATGACCCAAAAGGCAAAACAGACCAATATATATATACATAACAACTGGCAACTTGGCAAGACCCCCTTTCTAAGCATGGGAAGCTTCATCACTTTCTCTAGCTTTCTACATGTTGTGGTGATGTGACACTACTTGATTACCCAGCAATGATAATCAGAATTGGATGTGGAAATGGACGGTTTGATTTGCTTATGGTGGGGAAGATGTGCAGGTATTCCACGGTGGATTCCACCACTTGATATTTCAATCCCTTTTAGGTTTTTATTTTTAAAGGGGAAATGGTGGGTTTCTAGGAAGGTGCATTTGGGATTGGAGAAAGGGGATAACGGCATGTATCATGTGTAGACGTAAGCTTCTTTTGTGGGATGGAAAGAATTGCATGAATTGGCCGGCGTTGGGTTTCCTTGAAGGTTCCTATTTTCTATCTCCTCAATCAATTAGGTCTTTTGGATTCTTCCATTTTTCTTGGAATTTCTTGTTTGTCTTACTATCTGTAATATCCAACCGCTCGAATTTTAAACCAAAATCAAGCAACTCATTCATGAAATTTTTTTTTTTTTAACTATTGAATATCCATGAGGTTGCTTAATTAACATAGACTTTAAATTTCACGTGATTAGGGTGAACAAAACAATGACAATGGAATCGTGGTCATGAGGCAGAGTCAGCTTCTCTTATATGTGGTCATGACCACACAACAAAGCCTTTACAATATTAGTTCTATTTACTTTGATAATTAGAAATTATTATTAGCTTATAAATAATAAAATAATTAATATTTATTATTTAATAAATTAAAATTAATTTATAAATTAATATTTTTAAATGTCATAATTAACTGTTTATGAAAAAAAAAATAGCTTCAAAATTATGTTGTTGTAATAAACTTTTCTTAAAAAATTAAAATAACATATTTTTAAAGTAAGAATGAGATTGTTTTAATATTTTTATATTATTTTATTGAAACTATATAATTTTGTAATATATATTTTTAATTATTGGGATTTTTAATCTGTACTTTAAAGACATATGTTAAGTCTCATTCATTATTGTATTTGTAATTAATTTGGTGTAAATTTTTATACAAAATTATAATATAATATAATATTTATACTAAAAAGTTATAAGAAATTATGAATCTAATATAAAAATTTATGTAAAATTAATTAAAAATATCATAAT